AAAAAAAAAAAAAAAAGAAAAAAGAAAAAAAAAAAAAGAAAGAAAGAAAAAACCACAAAAACAAACACACCAACCCAACTTTAAAGTATTTCATAGGGAGATAATCCTTTGGTTATCACCTTTGGTCTTTACCTCATTCTAGATTATTTGCAAAGGTCCTTCCCTGCTTATTTTATCTGCCTGAGTGAGTTTTTATAAAAACTTCTGGACCTGAGTATTTATATGTTTCAGAAATACTTTTCACATACAGCTGAAATCCATAATCATTACTGTGTACAGTGCATTTTTCAGAGAGTAATAATTAATGTCTATGGCCAGATGTGAAACTGAAAAAAAAAAAAAAAGTGGTAATGGATGTACTTACAGGAAAACCCTTTCTCCCTTAGCTCTAATTGTGCAAATGGTACTGAGATAATACTGTAATTGGTTGTCTTGTACATGAAGCCAATATGAAGATTAAAGTACCATCTGGCTTTCTAAAAGTTGAAGTTAGAAAACCTCTAGCTTGAAAGAAAAAGCAGTTGGATCTCTGTTGGGTGGACATTTAAAATGTAATTTAACTTTGTTCATCTCCACTTAAAATTCTAATCACAAATCAGCACTCAGAGGTTTTCCCTCTTCATAAGAGTTAACAGCCTAACAGAAATTTTTCAAAGTACCTTTTGCTGGAGGTCACTGATAACCTTGGGTCTGTTCCTGTGTTTATCCTCCAATAGAGTTTAAAGATAGAACCTGAAAAGTTAATCTGGTTGGAAAACTTCACTAACAGTGTTGGGTTTTGTCTTTGTGAAATAGACATTTTTTCAAAAATGTTTTTGGAAAAGTTGCCAGCATTACTAAAACTATACTTTCTGCATATTTATATCGATTTTGATATGACATTCTGACATTTTTTTTAACTTTCTGTTACTTTAAGGATCTTAAATTATTTTCACAATCATTGCAGGAAAAAAAATGTTTAAGTCATACTTCAATTGTGAAATCCATTTTTTCATTAAATATTTGGAAAGTAATTTCAATAAAAATTGACTAATTTATATTAACAAGAAATTTCACAGAAAATGAAGATGTTTCAAGCTCTATGAAACAAAAATTGTTTCAGGTTTTTTTTGTAAATTAATTTTTTTTCTTGGATTTTTTTGTTACCAGCTCATCTAAAAATTGCAGTTGATAATAAGCATAGAGTGATTACTAGTGAAAATTTCATCATAAAGAATTCTCAAGGGCTGTTAGTAATGAAAATACTGTGTCTAGTTTTGTTCCACACTACCACTATCAGAACCAGAAACCCACTATCATTTGATCACTATTGTATAAAATTTAGTCTATAAGCAAGCACACAGATGAACTCCCCACCCTTTTCCTCTACCCTTCACTCACGCTCCCCTGGTGTCAAAGCTGCTAAAAAGGATTTCCAAATCTTAGAGCAAAATACATTCACTTTTGATCTGGAGATCCCTGCATTAAAAAAATAAGCAAAATTGCAGATGAGCGGATGGAACAGTAACAGAATCAGGTCTTTGCCTGGCCAGTGGACAGTTTCAACTGATTAACATCTGTAGCAATAAGAGATATGCTTGTACTCTTTCCCTATGGGCAATCCTTTGTACCTCTACTGCACATCTTCTATATGGATCAGAGAAAATCCCCTTGCACTGAACCAAATCTCTTCCTGGGGCTAAGTGGAACAGCACTGAAAGTTCAAAAGACAGCTATAGTTATTATTAAAAAAAAAAAAAAAAATTAAAAAAAAAAAAAAAAAAAAAGCGACCTAAATGATAAAGTGGGTGGTGGTATACTGTGTGGAGGAGTCCAGGGTATGAAGTATGTGTTGCTTCTAAGAAAGGCAAATAAGGTGTCTGGGCACTTAACAGCATAATAAATTCAGGTAACTGGCTTAGATGTAGAGATCAAATATTTTCCTACCTAAGCTTCAAGTCAATGGACCTCACATGGACAAACATTTGAGTGGAAGAAGCTATTAACTTCTGTCTGTTTCAATAAAATGCTTTTCTGGGAATATTTAGCACTCAAGATCCAGTTGAGATCCAGTGATTTCAGTTTCGTTCTGTGTGAACTCAAAGTAACCCTTTGGACCAAGGAAACTTCAAATGGCTTTAGAACTCCCTGAGGAGCAAACTTCACTCTTCCTCTTGTGTTGTCTGACCACCAGTGCTGGGTTAAAAGCACTGAGCCTCACTGAGACAAAGTGGCCTGATAAAACCTACTGTTGTTAATCCTGGTACCCCACTACTGCTGCCCTACCACCCCCAGTTATTTTTCATTCCTGCCTTTCTCAGCAGGAAGCTCCACTACTACTTCTATCAGTCCAGTCCTCACCCCACACCCATGCACAGACCTAGAAGACTCTGGCCCTCAGAAGGGAGTCAAAGCTATCCTCAAAGCCATCTGATAGCCAAATGTCAGTGCATTCCTCATGTGACAGTGCACATAGCTTTGAGTCATTTCTGCTTTAAAAATAAATTAAAAAAAAAAAAAAAGTATATTTGTAGCAGGACATTTTCAATAAAGACCTCATGGTTCTGTCAAATTTTCAATAAAGACTGCCTGATTCTGTCAGTGTATGAGAGCTGTATCTAGGGAGACCATGAGGCTGAATTAGGGATTTTGTTCTTTAAAATTCTAAGTCCCTTTGTTGTCTATGGGCAAGTTTTAAAATTAATATTTAGCAAAGCATGTAGTTATTTCTGTGTGTTTCAGTCTTGGCTAGCTGAATTGTATTTAGCAATCTGTAAAACAAAATTCTCACAGCTCAAACTCATTGAGATATTCATGTTTATGCATGAATTTAGGAATGATTACCAGTGAGTTTTGGTTTGAATAGTCACTGTTGAACAACAGTGGAAAACAGCCAAGCTAGGGGCACCACACGCCAACATGTATAAATTCAAAGCCATTTCAGAAAATGATCTCTGTAACTATTGTCTCACCTTCACTGACTGTAAAAAAGAGAATGGTAATGTTTGCCCATGGTACCTAGTGTTTTGAATATTAATTTATATTTGTAAAGCACTTTAATGAGGTAAGTTATGCTTAATTCAGGACACCATTTGACCATGAACATGCAAATACGCATAATCCTGTATTTTTTCACCTAACAAAAAATGGAGTGAAGGAATCCTTTTTTTCTAAAATACATGAACTTGCTTTCATCGGCCAGCTCCATAACACACAGCTGTCAGTAGCAAACTGTGTTGAGATTCCACTTGTCATTTCATTGTGATCTGCTCAAGAATATGTTTTTAATATGTCTTGTGGTTTCCTTCTAGATAAAACACTTCACCCAATGCATATCATAATTTCTCCTGTAGTATTTTTCAATAAAACCTGTTTTGTATCTGAAGAAAAATGTGCTCTTTTCTTCTTCTCCCCTTTGCCTCCTCAGTGCATAGTTTGGGACTGGGATTCCAACGGAAAGCATGACTTCATTGGAGAATTTAGCTCAACTTTCAAGGAAATGCGAGGAGCTATGGAAGGAAGACAGGTAAGTGGAAACCACCCAAGTGATCTCAATATCTAAGCTTTGTACAGCAGTGTTCCTTAGACAATACCGTAATAAAGCAAGTGACATTGCGTCATTGTCTTTCTGAAGTTAGTTGCCATGTTGATCTCTCACGTAGGTTTTACTGTTACTTGGACATGATAATCTGAAAATACAAAAACCAGCCTTTCCTGTATTTGCATGCCTGAAATACTTAGGGTCTTTTTTCTAGTTAACATTCTACAGGCATTTTTTTCTGCTAAGATTTATTTCCTTTGAGCCCAAGCACATGGTTTCTATGAGGTGCTGTGCTGTTATGGCAAAGTAGATGTACAGTCTGGGTGCTCCAAGCATTTGCCTAGTGGCCTAAGGGCCTTTACTGGGTGAGGGTCATTCTCTGTCTTTCTCAGTTTCTCATGTGCTGCATTCATTGCTGCCAGCTCTAACTTGAACCCATCATGATGAAACTAATCAGTTTCCTAAATATCTCATAAATTACAGTCCTAAGGGAGAATGAAATGTTTAGCTTATTAATAATTTCACTTCTTTATGTCAGCCCAATCTTTTCAAATTGAAGTTGATGGTAATTATTGACTATGATAAATGATTTGGCATATCTAATTCCAGAAATTGTCATTTCCTATTATTACTTACTCCTGAAGGTGTTAGTTTTGATAAATTCTCTGCAGGGGAGTTAAAAATGTTGACTTTCTAATCTGCTGATAATTTGTATTCACTGCTTCATGGTATCTCAAAACCAAACCCAAATGCCTAATAAGCTTTATTTGGGCTTTATATTAAAGTCCTGTTTATAATGTATTAATAGAAAGCTAACAGAGTCCAAAGTTATTTAATAAAGGGTAAGCAGTCAGGCTATTCCATAAGTCAAGGAGTTTTTAAGATTCTTCTAGATATTTGATGGTCTTAGAACACCCTAGAGTTTGGCAAACGTTGCTCATGTTTGTAAAATACTTCTGATCTGTATCAGTCATATACTAACCCATTATAAATAACTTCTGAACAGAACCTGAGTGTAAATGGAACCCTTTTTACTTCTCTCAAATTAAGTCAGAGGATCAAAACTTAAAGCAAACAATTTAAGTGGAAATAAAACCTCACTAAAAAGCTAATTAGATTCCACAGTGAATAAAGTTAACAAGGACAGTGATGTAACAACACTCCAATTTTGTATACAGATGCCTGTGCCTGGGAAGGAGCTGCTTGAGAGTGTTAAAGGGTTTGTATTTCCAATGTAAATGTCTTCAAAAGAGCATCACAGTCCTTCCCAGACAGCTTGTTGGCCAAGACAAGCGACTTGCAGTCCAGAGTGCCAGGAATGGCTGTGAAGGATAAACTATATATATTCTTTATTATGATGGAGAAACAGTGTGCTCTTTTCATCCTCAGCTAGCGAAAAGGATGATTACTCTTTCAGAGGCCTAAGAAGTTAGTGTAGGCATTTGTCAATTCTTGTTCTAGGTTGACACAGCAGTATCAGAGTGCCTGTTTTAATGTTGCACAATGCTTTAAGTGCCTGAACCTTTGTCTTGCTAAGGGCCTGCCATTTGCCATTCGGCAGGATGCCTTTCATTTGTAACATTGCAATCTGCTTTCCCCTGCAAAAGTGCAGATTTTCTCCTCCACACACCTAAGGCCTTGTGGCATTATTTCTTCCTTGTTACTCTCATTCTGTTGTTACTGTGCATTTATTCTGTGGGCTTACCCCTGCAAAATCCAATGCTGTTACAGCCAGTTCTCATGGGATGCAATTGCCACCAGTGTGAGAATCAGTCCTTCCCCCTCCTTGTCTGTTCGAATCCTTGTTTTGTAGTCTACTTTAGAACAAAACAAGATTAATCGTTAAGATAGTAGGTAATAGTCATTTCAGCGGCTAATATATATTGAAAAAAAAATGCAGAAGCTAGATGGCTTTTGCACCTGGTAAAAACAGACTTCAATGAGTACTAACGGCATAATAGGCAAGAGCAAGCAGCAAGGAGGTTGAGCAGTTCCTGGTATAAACAATACAGTTATTATAGAAGAAATATTGTGATCACATGTTGTACAGGAGAGGTTGTTTGTGTGGGACACCATGTCACCTGTCACTTGGCTGGGCCAGAGAGCAATTTCCCTTTCTCTCTTTCTCTCTTTCTCTCTTTCTCTCTTTCTCTCTTTCTCTCTTTCTCTCTTTCTCTCTTTTTCTCTCTTTCTCTCTTTCTCTCTTTCTCTCTTTCTCTCTTTCTCTCTTTCTCTCTTTCTTTCTCTCTTTCTCTCTTTCTTTCTCTCTTTCTCTCTTTCTCTCTCTCTTTCTCTATTTCTCTCTCTCTCTTTCTCTCTTTCTCTCTCTCTTTCTCTCTCTCTTTCTCCTTCATCCTATCTTCTTTTTCTCTATTCTCCAGAATTAACTATTGCTCCTAAAGGCAATATATACCATTAGCTGTGGACTCCATAAATACATTTTAGTGCATAGTTTAATCTCAACATCCTTTGTGCGACATTAAGTAATGTGATTAGCATTTGTCAGTTTTTTATTTAGTTTTATTCTCCCCAAAGCAAAAGCATGTGCAATGAATGGAATGTTTACTTTGGATAAAGGGGATTTAGTAAAACTTGTGGGAATGGCAGAGGAGGAGGAAGGTGTTTTGACTTCAAGTGGATGTGTTGCTAGGTATTTCGAATAAGAAGGGCCACATCAGAGAAATGTAATTATATGTGGGTGAGGAGATGAGTAGGTTAGATGTAGTCTTTTTTTCCTAGAAGAGACTTTTTCATAGTCTCAGACCAGAAAATGTTCTGTTTTCCATGTAGTAGTCTTTCACTCAGGGAAATAAAACTACCAGTTACATCCTTCAGCTGCTGGCATTAAGCATTCTTTCACATAGCATCACAACAGTGAGTGTCAAAAATGAGAATCAAAATGTGAAATTTCACCACAGATGCTGTGGAAGCCATGTAAAGAGCAGAACTCAGATCTGACATCCCTGTTTGAGTTGCTGAGGAGACAGTTAAACTTCTCATTCTGGTTATATTTTCTTTTGTGCAGTAGATTTTATGGCCAGCTACAGTACATTGTTATAGTTCTGTCAAAAGATAATTAAAACATAAACACCCTAGTGATTGTCAAACAGGGTTTTTCACTCTCCCAGACAACTGGAGAGAATAAGAGGGAACATTCATCATTGACAGGGGATCCAGGAATTCTCCTTAAGCATCAGCTGCCAATTTGTGCAGTTTGAAGGAGGCTCTGCCAGCGGCATGGCTCTCCCTCTCTGCCCATTGGTAACATCTCTATTAGTTGGTATCAGCTCCACAAGTTATCATAAATGCATTAAGCAACAAGAGTGGGAGTAACATAGTTTGTGCTGGGGAGCAGGAAGAACTGTGTGTCATCTGTGAACTGCTAGTACTTCTCACCATTTCATCAGCTCACTCTATCTCTTGGAGGAGTTGGCAAGGATCTTGAAGCTGCCTTGAAGCTGTGCACAGTTTGTCCTCCAGAAAGCACAGAATATTCTGGCCCATTCTTCAACCTCCCCCTCCTGGCTACAAGATACTTTTATCAACAGAACCAATTGAGATGGTCAGAAAGGATAGGTGTCACCCACTTACAGGAGATGCTGGTGCTTCTATAATAAGATTGCTTCAATTCCATCCCCAATCTGGGCTGGGTACTGATTGTCTCAAGTTTTACGTGTCAGCCTCTGATCCAAAGAGCTTACAGTTGTCTTTCCTCCACTGAGATATCTTGGGAAATAGTGTTTGAGACCAGGCATCATTTAGATAAATGTTATGAATCTAGCGCTGTCAGCTTGCTAGTGGTAGAACCAGTAGTGTGGGAAGGAAGGAGAGAAGATTCCTTATCTGAATGACTGATCACATGTTTTGATCAGGAATGACATGAGTAGTTTATGATTTTTTTTTTTTTTTTTTCTAAATGTGGCACCTCTTGGGCGAGGTTCACAAGTGTTGAATTATGACTTTTTCAGAGTGACAGTTGCTTCTCCGTGACAGAAAGGACTGAATTCTGGGAAAGCTTGTTGGTCTTTGGTTGGTGGTACAGATAAAATTAATTTGTGCTGTTTAAGAAGACTTCCTGTTCATGAATAACCTCAGGATAATAGCATGGGGTGTGTTTCTGTTCCATAATAATTACCTTGTTGTCACAGACTGTTATAGTCTGACACCTTGCCTGTTTTCATACTGACCACCAATAAAAAAATGGCACAGACATCCTGTTGTTCAAATGCACATCTGAAGCAGGCATTTCTAAACTTTCTATTTTAAATTTTCCACCTTTCCAAAACTCATCATATACTTCTTACCATAATCTTGACACAAGAAAACACAGTAAGAATAAGTCCATCCCTATTTGTGACTCTTTTTTTTAGTGAAATACTAGTAAATACTTTGACATTATTGTATGCTTAGGATTTGTTCCAAATATATGTATAATATATATATTTTAATATGTGTGTACAGTGGTGGTTTTACAAGGTGTTCTAATATTAACTCAAACATTTTAAAACAATAGTAGAAAAGCTTGATAAAAAATTAAAGTCTATTAAAGCTTTTCATAGTTGAAAGGAGAAATCCTCTACTAATGAGAAAAAAGTAACTTTTTTTTTTTTTTTTTTTTTTTTTTTTTTTTTTTTTTTTTTTTTTTTTTTTTTTTTTTAATGGAGGCAATAAAGCCAGAGGGATTTGAGATAAAAAAAAGTCATAGAAACATAAACCACCTGGATCCCCATGCAGCACGGGGGTTATGTAAGGGAAAAATCTGTTCTTGTATTACATAAAAATGGACACGTGTGTATATGCACACACACAAAAGGAAAGGGAAGGAAGAAACCCTGCTGTATTTACTGTCTCCACTGATATTCCTACAAGTTCAGGGTGTTATTAGGGGGCTGAGGAGGGCTGCTGAGGTGCAAAAGATTAGATGGTGTCCTGAGGGGGTCTGAGTTGGGTTCCTGTAGTGATTTGAGCACAGATGGCAACGAGCA